ATTACAGACTATACATTATTGACTTCCGATTCCTGGATACTGATTTCAGAATTACATTTCCTAATGTGGCTCTGCACTAACTCTGGATTAACATTGAATTCATTTTTGGATTGTTCTCTACTCGTCTCGATTGTCCTCTCTCGCTACCCGCAAATTGTTTTATATAAATAGCTAGTCGATCATTTCAAAATATGGCGCGAGTGGTTATCCTGGCCCACATCATGCTAGAAATTAAACATCGATCCAAGGATCAGCGTTCCTTGAAAACATCAAACAAACCAGCCTCGTGGATCAACCATCGAGATTAACAACAATAAAACGGTCCTAGGACAATAATCCTGCTAGAGCGCGATAAACATTAGGACTTTTTTTCAATGTTGGATTCCGCGTAATGGAACAACACTTACAATTTTTCAAAGAGTTTTATTCTAGGTTGCAACCGTGGTAAAGGATCGTGTACAAAAATCTTCTGTTGACTTGGTGAAAAAGTAAGCTTTTGCTTCTTCCCGGCATGTCTTTTTACATTCCGGTTTATCGGGAAGAAGAGAAGGAGAAAGGAGCATAGATAATCAACTGCTGGATTTTGCCCTTCTGACTAATTATTTACAGGTCACAGTAAAAAAGACTATTACTAACTCAATGTTAGCACTTAGCCAATATTGTCAAGCCGGTTGGTTATCAAACGTCAGTATGAAAGAACGGACGAGTTTTTTTTTTATCATAAATATCTAAAAATAAATCAATAAATTTCTTCATGCTAACAAGAAATCCTGAACTGTCATTTGTCTAAATAATTCCACAAGTAATCATATATCACGTATATCACATATCGTACAATATATATCACAAAGACTATTTATATATCACATTTATATATCCATTTATATATACAATATATATCACAAAGACAATATATATCACATAGACTATTTCACAAAGCATTTATAAACTGCACAAGGCATTTCAGATCTATCCTTATTATATTTATATTCTTATCGACATTATTATTCAATAATTATTATTATTCAATATTATTATTACAATATAAATATTATTATTCAATATTGTTATTACAAATTTATATCGATAAGACAAAAAATTAAAATTAAAATTCATTTTATTGTATATCAAACAAACCATGAATGATGATTTAATAATTTAAAATAAATATAATGAAAGCAGAACATCGAAAACATATAGTCAAAAAAAATAAAAAAATTGAAGTCAGAATATAAAATGTAACGATATAAAATATTTCAGATACTTTAACAAAATACTTCATACTAATATTCAAAAATGAAAATTGTATTCAAGACGAATATTAACTTCAAATTTGATTCGCTAAACTGAGATAGTTCACTACCGGTCCGCGAGCTCTTGCTTTTCTTGATCGCTAGCACTACCCCCTCCATTACATCGATCTCTTCACTTACAAAGTAGAGAAATCAACAGACTAATTGTAAAAGAACGGAGCTCATGCACGGCGAGGAAATTTCAATGTAATGGAGAGATTGATGTACTGGTAAGATCGATGTGTAAAGAAATCGATGCAGTAGAGAGGATAGCGATTAAGAAAGTAGAGGCAGAAACTCGTTGGGCAGTAGTAAACCATTTCTGCGCTAAACCATAAAGCATGTGATAAATTTAAGTTAGCTTTGAATAGTTAGAAATTGAACTACACACCAGTGCATCTGAATTGATATAGAATAATGTTATTGCATTGAAATGCTAACGAGAGATCTACTTCTCAAATAAAAGTATCGCAGGTTTGAAATATTTGCATTTATAGGAACTTTGAGAAAATTCTAACTTTATTTATTTGATTTCTCTTTTAAAACAATTGCAGAGCATTCTCAAGCATTTACATTCCATGAACAAGAAATTTGTATGTACGATTAACTAGATTTCTTCTTCAGGAATTTCTATGTAACATTAAAAACAAGTCGATTAATTGTAAGAGTATGATGCACAAGTATTCTCATAGAAGTGTGATATAACTTTCATATCTGGATCCAATATTTTTAGTTTCACTTATTACAAAGAACTTATTTCCACAAATTTGTTTATTACAAGAAAATAGTACACGTAACAAAATTATGAGACAATTTGTAAACTCATGTAAATCTGTATTATGAAAAAGAATTTTCGTAACTGAATAAACCATAGTTTTAAGTTAAGCTTACTTCTTTGCCATATACGTCAGATAATTTTTTATGAATTTACAGCGAATTTTTTCCTTTTCGAAGGTAGTACAATAAAATGTGGCGAAAATGTTCCTTTTTGATTTTCCATCTTGAAATCGAGGTCAAACAAACAATTGTACACGACATCGTGCATTTCATTTTTCTTCAAATAAGCTTCAACAATTACACGATGAATCTGCGGTTTAAAATGAAGTTAGTTTCATTTTAAGATATACATATATATATACGTCTATTAGAAAAAAACGTAATTACTTTTTAACCAACCCAATATTAATCGTGACGAATATAAGTCAGATAGGCAATACTGATATATTATCTTCAAATAGACAATTCTAATATATATATATACAAGAATTTTTGTTGATATTAAACATAGAATATTAAAGACAGTTTGTTAATTATGAACATCTCAGTGATCACTCGAAAGCAATAAAAAAAAAAAGACGTTTTTTTCGCGAAGAAGGGGTGCAGTCTTAAAGCATACAACATTAACTGTAATGTTGCAGAAACTAGAATTACAACGATTCAGAGGATAATATACACGTTTAAACACTAGACACAAGATGTTAAAAAAATCATCAATATAATTATAAAGAAATATGATTAAAATTTACAAAAAAATAGTTACACTGATATAAAAAACGATTATATTTTTTAGACAAGAAACGTTTTAACTTAAATGAAATAAATTGTTTAAATTATTATTTTTATTATTTAAAAAAAAAAAGAAATCACAGAGGCGACAAATAAGTGGTGGTGATTGATTGGCGACTGGATACCTTGGAAAAATAAATATAAAATTTATTTAAACAAAAATGGATAGCAAAACATACGTGGACATCAAGAATAGACAGAACTACATTTTTTAATATATGTGCATATTGCAAAAGTAGTGATGAAGCAGAATGCTTATTGTGAGAGCCAAAAATTTATGTTCTGCCATGGAATACAAGGTTCTTAGATTTACAGCTCGAGACAAAAAACAATCCACTTTTGTTTATTTTTTATGATATTCGTAAGAGAATAAAATATCAATTCGTAGATATTTTGACCATCATATTTATAATACATTTTTTCTTGTTCAGACATTTCTATGATCAGCAAACATTACAGGCCATCTGTTATAACTAAACGTAATTAAAAATATAATAACTACGACACTACAAGAATATTAATATTACGAATGTTTCTTTTAACTATTTCATCTCATAAATTTATAGAAGATTTAAATGTACGAGTATATGCAAAATTTATGTAAGTTGTGATTGAGGAAATGAATTACGAGATAGTTGAATGTTATATCGTATCTTTATGCACTCGTATGAACGATCGCGACAAGCGAGAGCTGATGTAGAGGAACGTCTCAAGCGTGGACGTTGCGTGAATTGGTTTGAATAACGCCTATTGCTCTTCTATACTCTATGTGCGCTTTTGGTTGATTTAATTGCAGTGCCTGCAGAGGTTTGGTGAGCCTTTAACCTGTATAAAAAGATGTATTTGTTGGGTAAATGCTTTTCAGGACAGAGTAATTGTATGGTTGCGTGTTACTAGGTGAAGAGGAAAAATTTCAAAAAAGCCTGCATATCTATTGGTTTCCATTTTTAGATTTTGACCTTTGGGTTTTATGAAATGGCAATTGCGTGTCTAGGTAGCTTTTTCTTGATTTTTAGTGGGATGTTGTTGACATTTGGCTGATGAGTGAGTTTTGATGCTCTGTGTAATAAGCGGTTTCAAGTGAATTTGCAATGTAGTCCTAAATTGTTTGGATGTTCGCTATTGCGTGTAGTACGCGGATGGGTGTGTCATACAGTTTGTTGAGGATAATGCATAGGAATTTATTTGGATTTTTTAAATCTTACTACTCGGTATGTGTGACTTTGCTGCTGCAGTTCAGATTTGATGGCCATATGTTATTATCGGCCTAACACACGTCTTATATAGGTTTAGTTTGATATTTGTTTTGAAATTGCTGTTTCTGTAAAGTAGCGGGTATAGTCTTCTGAATGCGGGGAAAGTTAGATTTGCTCTTTTGGTGGTCGCTGGGTAACTTGTAAAGGCAATGGCTTGCGTTTTGACTTTTGGGTTTTTTTAGTTTCCAGTTTGTGAAGTAATCTTGGAATTTGTGCTTGAATGTACTTGGTTGCGTTTTTGTGACTCTATGATGGTGTCGTCTGCGCGGATCTCTAAGTGGGAGTTTTGAGTACATGAGATGTCGTTTATGTAAATCATGAATAGCAGGATGCCGAATATGGAACCTTGCGGTACTCCCTCAGTGATCTTTTGATGATTGAGATAGTATCGTTTACTGAGACATGGGAAGGTCTTGTTTTGCAGGTAACTGGCTGAGGAGAGGAAGTGAGGTATTTATTCTTTGCAGTTTCATTAGAAGTACGCTGTGCGAGACTGGCGTATCAAAGGCTTTTTCTAAATTTTCTAGCAAGATAAGTTGTGTTAATCTGTTTTTGTTTATCTCTAAGATGTTGTGTTCCATAGCTGCTGGATGCATGAATGATTTTTCCTGAAACCAAATTGTTGGGGAATGATTATGTTAACATGGGTTAACAGATGGGTGATGATAATTTTTTCAAATAATTTGCTGATGATACTTAAGAGACTGATTGGTCTGTAGCTTTCGACGGCTGTTGTGGGTTTCCTCTGCTTGGGGATTGAGATTATTTAAGGCAGGCTTTGAAGATGTAATGTATTTGCACTATGGGTTTGATTGGGAGTTTTTGAATGCCGTTATGGTGATTTCTCTTGGGGGCTTATTGGAGGGGAGTTTTTTGATTATATGCTTTAAGGGATGCAGTTTAAGCTGTCGTCTATGAGTTTGTGGTTTGCAAGTCCTTCGATCTTATGCTCGATGGAAGAAGAAGTTGTGTTCCATGTAGAGTTGTATACTTTTTCGAAGTTTACAGCCAAACTTTCGGCTTTTCTTCATCGTGTAGTGAGGTGTGTAAGATGCAAGGCATCGGAGTATAGGTATCCGGGTTTTTACGGGGCTAGTAATTTTGAAAGTCTGTCAAAGTGTGTGGTCCGTCTTCTTGATGTTTGCAAGCTTATCCTGCCATGTTTGGTTTCGTGCTTCTGCGATGTATTTGCCGATGAGATTTGAGAGGAGGTCTCTGTATAGCTTGTGGAAGGAATTACCAGTTTTTTGGAACTTCCGCCTGTGTTTATTTCTCTCCTTGATGATGTTCTGAAGAATCGTGGAAGATCCATGAAGGATTGTTTAGAGTTTTGCGCGATGTGTTTCGAAAAGATTTTTGGATCAGCCGAGCAAGTGTTTCGATTTTGTTGTCGATGTCGGTAGTTATTAGTTTCTGATTTATTTTTAATCTGTTGCAGTTTTTGGCGAATGTGTTCCAATTGGTTTGTGCGGTTTGATGTTGTCGTCTTGCGTTGTTTTGGGTTAGGTTTAGATTAAGTTTTGGTTTGTGAATGAGAGGACCACCGATAGGTGATTTGATGAATTTCTCAATCCTGTGAAGATAGATTTTTATGGCAAAATTACACCATTGAGCAAGGTTAGTCTCATAAAATAATTTTCGCAATTGCTTTATAGGCCTAACTGTCCAGGGATGCGTCCCTCACATTTTACACAAAATTACACAAACATTTAAAATAATATAATATTTATTATTAATAATTGATCTAATATTTTAACATTTCTACTTGGATTTTAGATTTTTTAAAATGTTTATAAGTAATTTGTATAAATGTGTACAATCCAATTGTTATATTAGACGAGTTTTTAACTTGACATTAGACAAACTTAAGAAATTTTCAAGAAACAGAGCAATTTATTCGTTTTATGGTTAAAATTAAAATTAAAGTTAGAATTAATAAAGATGAATGTTTTATTCAGAATATGTTTTTATTCAGAATTTGATACTTTTTTATATTTTAATGTAAAAAGTATAGCATTTCATTTAAAATAATAAAGTTAATTTTAAAATCTCTAAAATACTCCTGTATATTAAAAAAAAAAAATACATGCATTATATAATGTATCTTTCTATACTATACAATCCTTGTCCGGATATTTACCACAAAAATGCTTATTTCAGAAATTATTCAAAGTGATCAAGATGCGGGGACCAATCTGTGGTGTGAAACTACTATATTTTTATGCAACATATCATAAGACCACGTTAGAATTTTTGAAATTTGATTTCATATA